AAGCTCCAATATTAAAGGTGAGTTCACATTGTAGGTTACAAAGTTACGGGAAGGTGATCAGAACCGAAGTCAGCATGCGTAACCAATTGGCTACAAAGTTGACATGAATCAGTTAAGACCATACTCTAGATGAATTATCAATCTTTGCTCTTCAGAACATTCTCTAGCTAATAAATTATCGCACTTAAGCTTCATGTTGATATTAGTATATCATTTCCTCCAAAGTAACAACATACTTTCATCGGAAGAATTTGAAATTTGATACGTTTATGAACAATCATGGCACCGCCCGGCTCCATCAAGACGATCATTTTGATCACTGAAATAATTTGCGTTCCATTTATCCTTATCAGGTTAGGTTTATTCATAACGGCGAAATGCACGATATGAACACTCAAAAGGTCAAATAGCTCGTCCTCATTATATTTAAGAGATTCCAATTTAAAATATTTAATGATTTAAAATCCATTACTGAATTTCAAAGTCATGACTATGTTACTCCAGTTTCAACAGCATCAAACAAAGAGTTAGCTTTCAGCATAGCAGTAATCACGTGGATTGAAGATTTCTGTAAACATTCCATTTTAGGAGCAATAATGCTACCTAAGTCAAAATCATCAAAATTTTGGTTAGAACTATGTGAGCTAGAATTAAGATTTCGATTTCAACCAGCTGCAATAGCAGCGTAGCTCTATTTACTAAAATAAAAATGGTATTTTGAGAAGATTTTTTGAAACATCATTTTCTCGGTGATGAATGCATAAAGGGTGATACGGTCAAAATTTGGTCAAGGGAAAACGCGTGTAAATCGGTGAAATCGTTTATTTAAAAAATCAAATTAAATTTCTTTTTCAAGTTCAATTAGTATAAAATTCAGGAAAAATATTCAGTAAGGCTTCCGCTTTTCCAAATCCGAATTGCCGGGCCTTACGCTTGACCCCTGCCATCAGATTTTGTACAGCCACCTTGTCCACCTTCTTCGCCGCAGAAAGCCAGTTTGCCTTGAACTGCTGCTCGCCCTTAGCAGTTTTTTGGTCTTCTTTAGGTTCCGCTTGACAATAGCCCAGTATTTCTCAATTGGGCGGAGCTCTGGCGTGTTGGGAGGGTTCTTGTCCTTGGGAACCACCTGCACGTTGTTGGCGGCGTACCACTCCATGGCCTTTTTACCGTAATGGCAAGATGCCAAATCCGGCCAAAACAGTACGGAACAACCGTGTTTCTTCAGGAAAGGCAGCAGACGTTTATTCAAACACTCTTTCACGTAAATTTCTTGGTTGACAGTCCCGGAAGCTATGAAAATGCTGCTTTTCAAGCCATAGGTACAGATGGCTTGCCAAACCAGATATTTCTTTGCGAACTTTGACAGTTTCATGTGCTTGAAAACATCTGCTACCTTTCCCCTTCCTTTTGCCGTATAAAACTCCTGTCCCGGAAGCTGCTTGTAGTCGGCTTTGACGTAGGTTTCGTCGTCCATTACCACGCAGTCAAACTTCGTCAGCATCGTCGTGTACAGCCTCCGGGATCGCGCTTAGCCGTCGTATTTTGTTTATCATCGCGATTTGGAGTCACTACCTTCTTGTAAGTCGATAGTCCGGCTCGTTTTTTGGCTCGATGCACGGTTGTAGACGATACACCCAGCTTATTTGCGGCATCTCGGAGAGAGAGGTTAGGGTTTCGCTTGAAACTACCGGCAACTCTCTTTGTCGTCTCAGCGGCTTCCGGTTTTCGATTTCCCCCCGATCCAGACTTCCTGGCTGTCGACAAACGTTCCCCAAACACTTTAATTACATTTGTAACGGTTGATTTGGCAACTTTTAGCGATTTTGCCAACTTTGCGTGCGAGTAGCTCGGATTTTCGCGATGCGCGAGCAAAATTTTGATACGCTGCTGTTCTTGCTTGGACGGCATTTTGACAACTGAAGAGTGAATTCCAAAATCAAAATAGGAGCAACATTCTACACACACACTTTCAAAATGAGGGGTGTTCAGGTTTTTTAAATGCAAAATTGAAAGAAATACGTCAAGTTGATATTGACCAAATTTTGACCGTATCACCCTTTAATTTCACATGATGCTTTCGGTAGCATCAAAAACATTTTTCAGACTAATGAAATATAATGTTTATTTTGGAATTATATTGAATGAAAACCTATCATTTACGAATGGTCGTGTATTACCCCACGTTCCCTAAACTGAACATCAAATAGTTCATGACATGTGTTTAAAATATCAAAATATTTTTTTTCCTTTTGCTGATATCCTACTGATGCCTTTGAAGGCCAAATTGGCATACGTTTCACCTTTACGCTCAACGGTTTAATTGTAGCTTGGGTGATTCTTATGGAATAAAACAATTAAAGGTTAGCACAGGGGAGAAAATTTACATGTTGAATACTTCTGTTACCTTTTTTTAAATTCCCCTGTACTGGCTATGCTTATGATACCCCTGATTATGCCTCAATAACAATTGTAAATACAGATAGGAGCAATAAAAAAAAAACTTTGTATATGAATGGAATGGCTTCCTAAAATCGGATTGATCGATTTCGAAACAATCCAATATTTTTTAACAAAACTAGGGATGTGGTTTCTTTTGCTACCATCGTTTATGCAAATTTCACCGAAACACACACGTACACACGTACCAAAGCAGCTTAAAATGTAATCCCTTGTTTTCGGACCGGAAGCTTAAGCAATTAAAACTTACTCATTTAACTTGCACAAATCCATCGATTTTACTCCATCCAACTCCTGCTACACTCATAGATGCAATTTATACGACTTGTTCTCCAGAATGTTGCCTGGACAAAGTTCTCAAGCTCATGCTTATATGTGGATTATTGTATCCTCCGAAGTAACCCATTAACATTGAAAGTTGCCCGTGAAAGGGTAAAGCAAACTCACAGAACGGCTTTAGTTTTATTCTGTGCAAGAGAAGAAATGCCGTACACTTTGCACGGACTCAGATTTCTCACTGAACTTCAGGATTTACTAGGTTGAAAAATTTATAATTTCAAAATATCTGTTTGCGATTTTGCAAAAGATAAATTTCCCCAGAAGAAACTGATACTGGAAAATGCTGGAAACAAGTGAGTCTTTAATTCAACACCAAAGAACTGTCTCCAAATGTTCCAATCCAACCGAAAACAAAAACATTTACACGGTAAACCACCATAAATTTGTTGAGCCGGAAATATATCACTCACCGCCCACCGGTGTTCGTCCTTTTTCAGTCACCGACGAGATGGTCAAATTCTCCAACTTTCCCCAAATGATCCCAAACTCAGATTCTGGTTCTAAAAATAAAGAAAGCCAACCCTTGTGGAGGGAAATAGGAAAAGTGGCTCGGCGAAAACGCGATCCAAGACAACCGGGACGAAGTCGACGACGACAGACCACACCGTTGATGGCATAAAATAATTAAAGATTACTATCACTAAAGATTATGTACCGGAACGTTCGTTCGCTGAATTCGGTTTTTTTTTGCCTGGAAAGACAGACACAAGCACCCGCCGGTGATGGGAACCATAAGTTTTATTCCTCCCTGTGGGGCGAGTGTTCTTCGGTTTATTCCCCGCCTGGTCGTCTCGCAAACTGAGCTGAACTAATGCTGCAGGATTTAGCGTTAATTTAAACTTTTTCCGTCAGCAGAGCGCATAAGGAATTAAGGAAAACGACGGACTAGTCGGCAAAATACGACCTTTGCTTGTCGGGTGGCACTTTTCAGTTGCAGATCCCTATGGATTTCTTGTCCTGTGTTGCGAAAACAGAGAGAGGAGAGAGAATAGTTTCGTTTGATTTTATTGTTTCTTCATTGAATTTTTAGATTAAAGCAGGTATACATCTTCATTTTCTTTGGCTAATTCGTTTCAACGGGGTTTGCATCTTCCTCAACCCAGTGTTGATTGAGCAGTTCCATGCACACTTAGAAAAAATCATTTAAATTTAGGTGCTCTGAGGCTGACATATACGAGCGTCAATTTTGACATAAAATTGAGTCAGAACAGACGCGCAATTCAACTCAATAAAATCTACTTTTCGTCGAGTAACGAACTTTTCAGTCTCGGAGCACTTAATTTTACATGAAATATTTGTTTACGTCTGATCCTTTATGTCAAAGATGTATTCCGTCACGTGTAAAATTAGTTATTTCTAAGTGTGTGGCTGATATTATTAAATTAACTTCAGAATGAGGGGTATGTGTGTGATTAAAAGTTTTATTGGTAAAATTCAACTATTCATAGATGAATACTGATTAGAAGAAAATAAATCGAAGGATATTAGGCTGATAAGCAAATTTTGATTGCCTACACCTCTTAAGCTTTAACGTGTGAAAAGTAGTGTTTCTTAAATGATAAGTATACATGATTATTTTGATGGTGATGCAATAAAGTATACCATACCAGCCAACGTTTAATTTGCTTCAAACTTTAATTTTACTACTAATCTTTAAGTAAAAAGAAAAATTCTTTCAATCATTGAAGGATTCGGAATATTTATTTCCATGTCCGGTTTCTTCAGATGCTCATAGAATTGCGATCTCCGTTGTGCATCATTGCTAAATATAAAATTGTTTACGTACGCACACTAACAAAAAATCATGTAAATTTACGATTAATCAGATGCACACAAATGGAGCGGCTTAATATATGTAATATTCAGTTACGCTATAAATTTACATGAAATTAAAAACATATTATGTAAATTTAAAACAAACGTAAACTAATAGATGTAAATTTAAATCCTATCGTAATTTCCATTTTGACGTAATTTTTGTCAATTTAATACCCATTGTGAGCCAAAGCAAATGTAATACTGCATTTCGGTTTCCATTTTGTCACAAAAAATATGCTTCAAGTTATTTTCTTTTAGCCTTTTTTTATTGAACTCATGTAGAGTATAGAGATAACTTTATTACATATGAAATTAAATCTATTCATGTAATCAATTAGACGTAAGGTAAAATAGTATTTAATTGCACATCTTGTTTAAAACGATAGTCATTGATTGAGTTCCTTCACATTATGATTGGCGATTGCTGTGATGATTCTGGTGACAACTCGCTGCTGATGGTTCTTTCGCGTTGCTCTGGACTTCGACCCAGTTAGTGGTAGTATTTTCAAAAAATACTCCTGCACGAATTCCAGAAATTTTGATACACATTTCATGTACATGAAGTTATGTACGTAATGAACACACATAAGATCGGTGATGGCAATAATTATGCGCTCGGTACCTTCAGTCAATCGTACTTGCTCGGCAAAGACGTAGTACATCAGTTTCCCATTACCTATATCTGCAAACAATTGTAAAGAAACAAAAATCGTTAAATTAAATTGACAAAAGGAACGTGTATATTAGGGTGGGTCAACTATGAAATCTCGCGTAACATTTGAAAACGACACAAAAGCTGTTGTAAGGCCTTTTACATGCAAATCTAAGTACGCCCAGGCAAACCAACAAAATCATAGGGTAGGGGAAATTTTCCCCTTACCGATAGTGGTATTGGTTTGCGTGGGCGTTATTCGGTGCGCGTGGAAAGGGCGTTACAACTTTTGTGCCGTTATCAAATGTTGCGCCTGAAACAGCATATAAATAGTGGGGTAAGGTGGAGTAAGATGGGTCACGGGGCAAGATGGATCATAAATTTTATATGTTTATTTTGTTTGTCAACATCAACAGGATCTTTATAACCCCAATGCTGGTTTGAAAAAGCATTGAACCTGTAGATGTTGACAAATAAAAAAATAAAAAAAAATACAAATCGGCCTATCTTGTCCCACTTTACCCTAATCTTGAACCGAGTCTTGATCTGACGTGTATCGATTTTAAAAATGTATCTTAACCCATGTTGGCTTCAAAACTAAATCTTTTCTATTCCTTACCTACGGCAACGATTGCTGGTCCTGGACTTTTGGTGGTGATTTGGAGCAGAGGAGTTCCTATCTGTCGAATAATCATTGCTTTAATATACTATTTTACAATATACACATTTTCACAAAATTACCTCTTTCTGTTCGATCAAATCCAAAAGGTTTTCACCCAACAGTGAACACAGACATTTCAGGATCTCGTAGTCTGAGGTTGCATCTTCCAAGTGTAGATTTTTACATGTACTTCTTGAATAGTCAATCAACTTGTTCCGTTTTGCTGCAAAGTACGTTCCCAAAGAGTCTGCTGCAACACCGGTAGCTTTTTCAAAATGAAAGCTTAGCAGTTGTCGCCGTCTGAGAACGGGAAGTCCATCAAGTGTCGTCTTTAGGGTTCCTTGATCAAATCGGAAGCGGACGTAGGATTGTGATTGTTCCAAAAATCCTTCAGTTAATAGACTGGGCTCGTCCCGCATTAGTTTAGACATCAGCTCCTTGGCACATTCCTTCGATGAATGCTCCCAATACTCTTTCAATGTTCCGGCTCTCACGTTCCGATTTCTTTTCACTTCAGAAGTAGATGGTACTGGTACACCTGGATCCTTGAACCGATTCAGGTACGTGCTTCTGTTAATCATTTTATGCTTCCATACAACGAAACTCTGACCGTTCCCGTAGCCGTCATCATCGACAAAATTCAAACATGGGAACTTCCCTATGATTTGTTTGGCTACTACTTCTATAACGCACGCACTGATACGAGTATCGATTAACCTAAGCTGGTCGACAACTGCATTGCAAAGGTTGCTCATATCGGACTTTGAAAGTTGAATCGAACGCGGAACAGTCAGAGCCGGATTATTGTCACGAAAATTTTGAAGGTCAGACAAACGTTTAAGTAAACCATCACTAATTTTTGACCAGTTTACTTTGAACGATCGAAATTTCATTTCAGTAGAAGCATGCTTCTTCGTGCTCTTTTGTAATGCCAGATCCTCGGATGTTTTCCTTTTTGAACCAATGTTTGGGGAAGTGTTCTCCTGTTCTTCTTCAGATTCGTTGTGATGTTGCTCGCAGAGTAGAAATTCTTCTGTTTTCTCTTGTTGCACTTCAGTAGGCTTGATTTCGATTTCGTCAATCGGGTCCTCAGCGTACGACATACTTTCCTCATCATGGGAAGTCGGAACATCTTCTGAATGGTAGTTTTGATCTTCATCAACCATGTTTGGAACTGTTCCTGCACTCAGTAAAGATGTTTCTAATGCATCTGTTAAAGTTGGAACTACAGTAATGATATTTTGCGAATGGTTTACTGCTCGATGAAGAAAAGAGTCGGCAGTGGACGCCTGCTGCAGAGGAACCGAATTGATTATGGTGACAGGAAATCCTGTAAGCAATACAATAAACTTGAATAAATCGCAAAATATACTATTAAGGTAAACACAACAGCTTATTCGAAGTATAGATACTCATGTAATAGATTTTACGGATGGTATGGATATGCTAATTGAAATACAAAATATGTTACAAATCCACACATCTATTACATGAGTCTCTATACTTCAAAGTGTAAACAAGATTTTGAAGTTCCTCGCAAACATACACAGAAAAACAAAACAACGCAAATGTTGAAACTCTTGGGTTTAAACATACAATCTAGACAAACATGTGGGAAGGTCCAATGAATTAAATGTAAACAATGACTTTAAAAGCCAATCAATTTGACACACGGATAGAAATCTCCTTATACCTTTTGGAAAAATTTATATTACTGATTATTCATAAAATGTATAAGTCAACTAATGAGCAGACGCCTTGCAAAAAGTTAATAAAGATTATGTATCAAATGAAATGTATAAGCGGTCACACATACCTTTTATGCATTCTTATAGGACCTATGTGGTTTGTCTTATGGAAAGTATAAGGCTGATGTTTTGGCAAAAATGTATAAGTGAATCACATGAATAAAATAATTGATTTTCGTTTCGTGCAGTGAGCGTTCATAAAGGCCTAATTGCAATGATCGATTCGCTTCGCCAATTTTGTCATTTGTTACCGTATTAGGGCTGAGGAGATCGTCGAGCGAAACAGCGACATTTTCAACGGCTACGGGAAAATGCCTGGCAAGGTCAGATTGGAAATCGATACCAACGTTTCACCCGTGATCCAGCAACCCCGGCGTGTGCCTATAGCACTTCGAGCCCCCTTGAAGGTGGAGCTGAACAACCTCGAGAAAGATAACATCATAACCAGGGAGTACAACCACACCGAATGGGTGAGTTACTTGTTAAGCGTGGACCAAAAGGCTCTGAGTCTCTTCGAATCTGCTTGGATCCAATTCCACTGAATAAGGCTTTGAAGCGCTCAAACCTTCAGTTTGTGACGCTGGACGAGATTTTACCGGAGTTGGACCAGACGCAAGTATTTTCTACCCTTTGCGAGACCCTAACCATTTGCGAGACCTCCGTTAAATTTTATGGTCATGTCCTATCAAATCAGGGCTTACAAGCAGATGAGTCAAAAATTGCTTCAATCAAGCACTATCCTGTCCCCTCGAATCGAGCCGAGCTTCACCGCATCATTGGTATGACCACTTATCTGAGTCGGTTCATTCCAAATTTGAGCGCAAGTTGTACTAATCTGAGGAAGCTGATATCCGAGAAGGAACCGTGGGTGTGGTGTGACGTTCATGACAAGGAGTTCGATAGATTGAAATCTCTCGTTTCGGACATTAAAACGCTTCGATACTATGATGTTCGTCAGCCGTTGATGATCGAATGCGACGCGAGTTCCTTTGGCTTGGGTGTAGCAGTGTTTCAGCAGGATGGTATAATCGGATACGCTTCGCGAACGCTTACCAAAACTGAGCGAAACTATGCTCAAATTGAAAAAGAGCTCCTGCCAATTTTGTTCGCCTGCACCAGGTTCGATCAGCTGGTGGTCGGAAATCCTAAAACGATCATCAGAACGGATCACAAACCGTTGATTAACATCTTTAAAAAGCCTCTACTTACCGCACCAAAAAGACTGCAGCACATGTTGTTGAACTTACAACGTTACAGATTGGAAATTCAATTCGTCACCGGCAAGGAGAACATCGTAGCGGATGCTATTTCCCGAGCACCATACGACGATGCAAGCGCCTCGGTGGAGTTTCGGAAGGTGAATATCTTCAAGGTGTTCCGCGAATTGGAAGATTGGAATCAAGCAGTTATTTGAGAGTGTCAGACAACTGTTTGGGCACCATCATCGAAGCGACTGCTGAAGACCCTGCTCTTGTGAAGGTCATCGATTATATTTGTAACGGCTGGCCAAACTCAATCGAACGTGTTCCAGCAGTGGCGAAAACGTACTTTAAATATAGGAGTGACCCAAGATGGTCTAGTGTTCAAGAACGATAGGATTGTTATTCCTAGTTCTCTCCAACGATCCATGGTTGACAAGGTGCACACTAGTCACAACAGGGTTGAATCAACATTGAGACTAGCATGGGAGAACAGTTACTTATTTTGGCCGAGTATAAGCTCACAGATAGTGGATGTGGTTAAAAAATGCGCCGTGTGTGATAAGTACGCCAGCAGCCAAGCAAAGCCTCCTATGCAGAGTACTGCAGTTCCCGTGTATCCATTCCAGATCGTGTCAATGGACGTATTTTTCGCGGAGTACGCAGGCCGATCGATCATTATTCCGGGGTCGATCATTATTCCGACTACATCAAGGTTGACATACTGCAGGACTTGTCAGTTCACTGCCTTGTGAAGACCTGTCAGATTAACTTCGCACGCCATGGAGTTCCCCAGTTAGTCATATCAGACAACGGAACCAACTTTGTTAATCAGGAAATTAAGGCAGAGGCCAAATCGTGGAACTTCCAGCACTCTATTTCCGCTCCGAATCACCAGCAAGCCAACGGCAAGGCTGAGGCCGCCGTGAAAATAGTAAAGCGTCTGATCCAGAAAGCAGATGAAGCTGGTCAAAGCTTTTGGTATGTTTTCTACATTGGAGAAATATACCGAACAAAATCGGCAGCAGTCCTGCAAGCAGACTTTTCTTTCGAAGCAACAGATGCGGTGTTCCAGCTGCAGCAGAAAAATACTACTCCAATGTGGTAAGAAACGTCCCGGAGGATATCCTGGAAAATAAAAAGAGGATGAAGTACTACTACGATCGGAAATCACGAGCTCTGTCTGCTGTGGAAACGGGTTAGCCAGTCTATGTGCAGCTCCAACCGGATACAAGTAAAGTTTGGACTCCAGCAACCGTAAATCGGAAGCTAAATGATCGCTCGTACGTTGTGGATGTTGGTGGATCCTGCTATCGCCGTGATTTTAGTACATATCAAACCGCGTAATGAACCAATTTCTCGCCCAACTTCTTTGAACAAAAGTTTGCATCCTGGAACCGAAACAACAACAAACAGACAACGGCAGCAGAGCTGCCAGGTGGTTTTATAAAAAATCTGTATCCACTCTATTAAAAAATCTGTATTTTCTGTATTGACGATTTTTTTCTTAATTAATCATGTTTTGTTGTTTTACAAATACAGTGCATACAAAAAAAACCATAAAAAGTGCTTAACCACCTATTCGGGCTATCGTACTAACCATACGGGATATAATTGCGCCATTTGTGATATCGTCCGTACTTATTTATAAGAGTGATATGAAGCCGTTTGAAAATGTATGGAGATTTTAGTTTCTATTCATTATCTTCCTGCTAAGCAGTTTTAAATGCAAAAAATGCAGTTTTAAATGCACGAGTTCATTACTATTTGATATTTTTAATATAGATGAATACAATTAATTACATCATTTGTGTGGTAGTTACACCGAAAAGTCGAGAGATGTCACCCTGCCAGTGCTGGTAAAATCATTTTTGCAGTATGGAGAATAACAGAAAATCCGCAATTTCTTACGAAATACATTTTCAATGCTAGTAAAATGTTTACGAGTACTTGTATTTGTACCATGTTAATGTGCTCGGGCAATTTTCTTGTATTTAACATGCATGCTTATATTGGAAATATTCAATTAATACTGTAAATCCCCATACAATCAAAAAAAGTTATTTTGTTTTTATAAATTTTGAGTTTTTTTTTCTCAAGCATTTTATAAAAATCTGTATAAATCTGTATTGTAATTTAAAAATCTGTGATAAATCTGTATTCTGTATCGGGTCTGTATTAAGATTAAAAAATCTGTATAATACAGATAAATCTGTATAAATGGCAGCGCTGGCCGTCATCGATGATTACCGAAATATACACCGGATCAAATCCATAGAAGTATGAGGAACAAGTACCGATGAACAAACCACTCTCCAACTGGTTCATCAGGATTGTATGTGATCCTGTGCCTCACTGAACTAAGCTAAATGGGTCCACGAATGTTTTGAGCTTGATTTTGGGTCGACCGAAATAAATTTGAATGTGCGGAACTCTACATCCGAAGGATTTTCTTTGACGGAATCAATGGCTAGGTCACGCCTCGAATAGGTGTGAGGTTTATCTGTGTTAAAAGTCGTGCACCAAGGTATAGTAATAGGTTATAAGTCAGGCGTAACATTCGATAACGGCACAAAAGCTTTTGTAAACAAAAGTTGTAAAACGCTTTACACGCGGACCGAAGTACGCCCACGCAAACCAATACCACTATCGCAAAGGGTAATATTTCCCCCAACCGATGATGTTGTTGGTTTACGTGGGCGTTCTTCGGTCCGTGTGTAAAGGGCCTTACAACTTTTGTTTACAAAAGCTTTTGTGTCGTTATCAAATGTTACGCCTGAAGTAATCTACGGGATCGGTGTTTTGGGCAATGCAAAAATTTTATGAAGTGTTTAATGCAGGTTTGGATCAAGAAGATGCATATTTTGCAGCAGATTGAACTTACTCTGCTTTATTCGACATAGCTATTCGGAGAGCATATTCGAGGCTCGTACTAGAGAAAGTCGTCCTTAAGACATATCGGACTATCAGTGGACGCATAATTGACCCATGTGTATATGAAACTCCATAGTAACTGAAACTATTATGCGTTCCATCGAAAGCGGAAATATTGTATAAAATCATCATAACTGGGAGCTTGGAAGCTGTAACTTTGAGTATATTGTGTTATATTGTTTTCTCTTTTCATAATCTATTTGAGGACATGTTCACTTTCTTACAGCGATGGGTTTAGATACTAGCTCATAAAGCCAAATGAATAACACCCATATTTTCGTTTTC